AAATGCTCCAGGAATATTTGTTTTTTGAGGGGATTCAATCATAAGTCCTTTATAAAGTGATTCATTGTCCCCTAACATGTACAATAGGGAGGTAGAGCTGTGCAATAGAAGGATTGCTAACTCTTTGGCCAGAGGACCTAGGCTCAAATTATGCCTCTGATATTTACTACCTGTGCCAGTTTGGGCAAGTCATTTAATTGGCTCTTGAGTTTCCCAACCTCTGTAAAACGAGGGAATGGAACTAGATCAGCCCTGCGATTCCCCTCCAGATCTTTATCAATGATCCTAGGGATCTCTGAAGAGAGAGATTTTAACATACTAGGTTTGCTTGTGGCACTCTGAGGTCTCCTCCCAATCCAGTTATGATCCTAGAGAGCTTAGATTTTAACATCAGGCCTGCTAACAGCACAGTTCTCCTCTACTGTCGAACACCCACTGATATCCTCCATAGTCATGTGGTCATCCTTGCTTCACAGACCCACCGATCAGCTGCACTTGTCTCACATGCTCAGTCACAACAATCCCCAACAACGTGACCGAGCACAGTCACAAGACCTTCTCAAGTTCATTAGAACATCAGTGTGACATTTTATAACAAAGATGCTGACATGAAGATACATTATTACACCATCACATTACTCCCAAAGGGGAACAGTCTTAATTTAGTTCCAAGGGGTTAATAAACGGCCAAATGTTACTACTATGTAACACACAGAAGGCATGTATTACCCAAGGACATTCACATCCTGTGACTAGATCTTTGCAACAAAATTTAGGTCAAACGATTAATTAACAGACAGGCAAACCCGGGACTCAGCACCACAGAATCCCAAGATCCCAGACCTAGAACTGGAAGGAACCTAAAAGGACCTCAAGCCCACCTCCCTTACTTTACAGGTGAGGAAACTGAGGCCCAGCTGGGTGAAGTGGTTCACCCAAGATTGCACAGGTAAGAAGACACACCTGCTCAATCACTCCATCTCGATTTTTTTCAGCCATTAGAAAATTCAGCAAGCTATGCGGGCATTACTCTTCTCTCCCTCCACCTCCCATTTGGTCTTTACCAATGTAATAACCTTGTTGAGACATTAGAACCAAACTCCACCACAATGGTGCAAAATATCGTTGCAAGATTGATTATACCAGGCTTCTTCCTTTTTTTTTTTGCATCAAAGATCCCGTTGGAAGACTGGCAAAACCTACAGATCCCTTCTCAGAATCATGTTTTTAAATAATTGAAGGAAATGCTGAATTTCAATTGGAAGTTGGTGAAAATGAAAATGTACTTTTTCCTCATCTGAGCTCATGGATCCCCTGAAATCTCCTACAGACCCAGAGTCCCTATGTTAAGAACCCCTGAGTTAGACTTCTCACCTGACCCTCAGAGCAGACCACAGACCTTTGGGACACACTCCCTTCTAAAATTATCCCACATTGCTTCCTGTTTGAAGAGCTGTGAGCAGGGCATACCTGTCAATTACCTCAAATAACCCACTTTCACTCCATCATCAGCAAGGGCTTATTATAGCCCTGACCTATAGTCTCTTCCCAAATTATCCTTCAGACTGATGATGCCCAGATCTGTGTATCAGCCCCTTGTCTCTCCCAAGCCCCAAGTCCCAGTTATCACCTGCCTCGTAGACATTTGGAACTGGACAGCCTCTGGGCACTTCAAACTGCAACAATCAAAAGCAGAACTCACTATCCCTGTCCCTAACCTACCCCTTTTACTAAAGGCCCTGTTTGCAAGCTTGGAGTCATCCTCAACTCCCCCTTTCCCGTCAGCCCCCATGTCCAAGCAGTGGCCATGTCTTGTCATATTGACCCTCCACAAACATCCCATGCATCCACGGTCCTTTCCTCCACACACAGGCCCAGGACCTGAGGCCGGGCCCTCCTCACCCTTTACTTGAACTCCTGCCTGCTCTCCTAGTTGGTTTTCTCATCTCAAGGCTTCAAACTGTCTCCCACCCATCCTCCACACGGCCATCAAATCAATAAAGCGCCTAGCTAACCACGCCACTCATTTGTGCACTATTTGCTTAGTTGCTTCATTTCCCACCTGGCAGGCTTCATCACGCCCACAGAAGCCCCATCATCCGGCAAGATCACCTCAGCCCTGGCTCTCGCCCCTCATCAGCCCCCTGCTCTGGCTGGAGAGCCGAGCCTCGATCTGCCCCCCAAACCTCCATGTAAGGAGGTGCAAGGCCAGCCATCATTTCATTTCCCACTGGCTGTATATCTTCAGGATCCTCCATCGCTGCCCCTGCTGGGTACCTCATCTTCAGCTTCCTTTCACGCGGTCTTCTCCCCACACCCACCCCCCATTAGACTGCAAGTTCCTTGAAGCTAGGGACTGTCTTTTTTCATATTTACATCCCCAGAGCTTAGCCCAGCACCTGGTACACCGTAGGCACTTAATAAATGTTTATTGACTGACTTTTACCACGAAGGCTAAACACAAATGTCTCTGTTGGCTAGTTAGAGCCCTTCACAAATGGGGTGAGCCACATCCTATCTTTCGAGCCTTTTGTCAGCCAATCCACCGAGAAGCATTTGTGAAGGGCCTACTAGGTGCCAGGCGTCGAGGCACCCGTGATACAGAAACCAAAAAGGAAGCCGACCTCCCCTTTGGCCATTCCAATGGGGGAGATCACACTGCGAGGCCACAGACTGGACATGGGGGAGTGAGAGAGTGAGGAACACCGAATGATACCTCGGCTGCAAGGAAGCCAAGTGCCGCCCTGGCTGTTCCCTGAACAAGACCCTCTGTTTTGCGATCTGGGCCCTGAGAGGCTGCTAGGCTACCATCTGAGGGCCAGGCATCCAGATGTGTGACCAACCCTCTCATTTTGTAAATTGGGCAAATGACTCCTACGTATACACGTACTGTGACTTTTAAATGTGTGTAAAAATGTGATGAATAAAATATGGAGCATAAATACAGAGCCAGAAGGGACACAAATGGACATCTAGGCCAACTGCCCCTCTTTTTACAAAAGAGGAAACTGAGGCCCAAGGAGGGCATGTGACTTCCCAAGATCACACAGGAAATAAGGAAGGATTTGAACCCAACTCCTGACTCTGGAATCTGGATTCCTTCCCCTATCCCAGAGTAGCTCCATCTTATCAGGTCCCTTCTCCAAAAGAGATCCTTGTAGTAAAATGATAGATAGCCACTAAGAATACGAGCTGACATTTATTTATAATGTGCTTACAGTGGGCCGGGCCGCAGGTCAAGCGCTTTACGTCGGATCCTACAACAACCGTGGGAGGTTAAGTGCTATTACGGTCTCCATTCTCCAGACAAGGCAACTGAGACAAATAGGACTGCAAAGACTTGCCCAGGGTCACACAGCTAGCATCTGAAGCCAGATTTGAACTCAAGTCTTCCTAACTCCAATTATGGTCATATGAGAGGCAAGGCTATAAATCTGACATTAAAAAGACATGTTCCTATATGAAAATTTGCAAATCGTTGTATTCTACCAGAGCCACACTAAGGTGAGGGTTTCTGTTTGGTCACTTTGGTCATGTCTGATTCTTCGTGACCCCATTTGGGGTTTTCTTGACAGAGATACTGGAGTGGTTTTCCATGTCCTTCTCCAGCTCATTTTACACATGAGGAAACTGAAGGGTGAAGTGACTTGCCCAGGGTCACCCAGCTAGTAAGTGTCTGAGGCTGGATTTGAACTCGTGAAGAGGAGTCTTCCTGACTCCAGGCCCAGTGCTCTAACCACCGGGCCAATATTTTAGAAGTGTGGTATTAAACCAGAGATGACTATGAATGAAACTGTGTTTGTCGGCATAACAAGCTCATCTTTCAAATTCTGACAAGGCCAAAAATAGCAGTTTATTACTAGGACACCACAATTGGTGCAAAAGGATATTTTTAAGTCAAAAATCCAAATAAAAATAGTCCTTTGCTTCTTATGGAAAAATTTGAAATGACAATCTTCTGGCTACTTAGCAAGAACTCTGAACTTCCCTACCCAAAGGCACGAACGCAGTCAGCTCCCCCTTTTACTCTGTGGCATAACCAGAGCATGGCATCAGAAGCCGTGCAGCGCTGAAGCCTCTTGGTGAGACAAGTAGGGCCCACTGGCAACCCCAAGCAACCAAGAGAAAATTCAAATGTAGAAAGGAAGAGAGAGAGAGAGAGAGAGAGAGAGAGAGAGAGAGAGAGAGAGAGAGAGAAGAAGAAGAAGAAGAAGAAGAAGAAGAAGAAGAAAAAGAAGAGA